AATTAATGTGTTATTAAAGATTTTTAACTGACAAATTTTTAGTTAAGTTTTGTGTAAGTGATTGATGGAAAGAGTTGATCAATTTTTGTGTTTCATTCAGATTCTTGATGATAGAGCTTTGACTTAGCTTTTGGTAAACTTTACTAAAAATTTCAAGAAGAAAAACCTTTGCCTTTTTTGTTAATAAAGTCAAGTGATCTTTGTCTGCATATATAGACTTTTTCTGAACAACAAACACATCTTCGAATGAGTTTGTAGCTTTTCTAGTATTAATAACCTTGGCCGTTTTAGAATGTTGTTCTGGAGTATCAATAGGTAAAGTCTGTTATCGTATTCTGCTATGCATATTCTCAACGGGATAATCTGTAAATTTAACTAAATGATCTTTTAGCACAGTTAATATTGGATGATTATTTTGACTCCAATAAAATATGTTCAAAAGAAATGCTAAAGATGCTTTATTATAATTACACCTTTCAAACCGTAAAAAAATATACCATGCCCAAAATACAGCTTCAATATAAGATTCCTATTTCTAGACCGAAATAAAGTTGAATATATATCAAATCTGACTGGTACCATATTGTCTAATAATTCAAACAAAAATAAAAACTCAATATCTTTGCAGTGCTTACCAAATTTACCTATTACTATTGGTTTAATTTTCTTTCAAGTACTTCTTACTAGCTCCAAAAGTACAAATATTCGATATGGGGTAGGTGTTTAGCTAAGTACTCTACTTGTACTAAAAAATATATTTGTATTCTATATTAAAGAAATAACAATAAATTTTTAGTATAGACTCGAGTAAATTTAGCTAAATATGAAGAACGCTAATAATTGGAATAAAAGATAATATGTTGTCCAGTATATTATCTTTACGATTAAGTAAATGGAGAGTAATGGCTTGTTGTATAAATGCCTATTCAGACCAATCAACTACAATTGAAATAATATGATTAGCTAAATAATTAGTTAGTAAAGGATTTTTGTAAACTTGTTGTAAAGCATTAATATACAAATCTATCTCTTTAAGACTTAATTCGAAAAAGTCTAAGAGAATTGTGTCCTTCATTTTATGCTCTTCATGCTATTTTTGTATATGATCATCATATTTGTGAAGAGTCATATTTTCAAGCTTTTCATCCAAAGGTACTTCATAATAAATTTAATTATTAAATGTTCTAGACATTTGTTCTATATAGTAGTGATCTAAAAAAGTACAAATAAGTTCAGAATCGATTAGTTTTAAATTATGAACTGATATACCATTTTGTGCGATTTGTGAAATAGCTATTGTATCAACACTATTTAATACCAAAATCATCATATATGCTGCACTTGAAGTTAAACATGTATCCGGAATTCATTTGGTATGAATATTGTGATAATCATCAAAGTTAAGCACTAAAGCATTATTTTTTTTACTTTCTAAATATGAAGTAACCTTATGCAGATAATTATCAGCAATGGCTGTCTTCTCACTATCAAGATGCCTTTGTGAAATCATTATACTGGCGTGTGATAAGGCATCTATAGCTTCTGTAGAAACCCTATCAAATCTACAAAAAGTGATATATCTTTTTTAAATGCCATTAGTTTAGAGTTTTGATTGCTACAAATAATATAATATTCTACTACTAATTTTTTATCTAGCTTATCTAAATGTTTAGTACTTTTATTTTTTGGAAGAGATGTATTATAAATTGAATCAAAAAAACTACTTAGCCTAAAATTCTTAGCTACCATTTCTCTTTGTAGCTATTTAAAGCTATAAATAACTGGTTCTTGTTCATTCTTTTCCTGATCGTATAAAAACTTTGTTAAAACATTAACACTATCTATCCACGTAAGATTGTTATCATTTTCTACCAATTCATCGTTTAAATTCCAAAGTGGTATAGCTATACTTTAATTCTAGCACATTAGATAGCATTGAAATGCTAAAGACCGATCAAGTGCTTTTCGTTCAAAATTATTTTTTTTTCAAGCAGGCTATGGCTTCGATTTCATTAAAAAAAGATCTTAATTGATTATTCTTATTTTCGGCAATAGATCTAAGTTGAAGAAATGAAACTAAAGGTGGATCATTTCCTATAACCTCTTATTCAAAAATGATGTTAGTTAATATAGAAATACTTTCAAACATAGAAAAGTTATTATCCTCTCTAGATCTCTTTAATCCTCTCTCCTATCTATAGCATGTTTCTTAAAAACATCTGTTCCATTTACTACAATCACGTTATAACAATTAAAACACATATACTCATCCTTATAATCTCTATAATACGAATCCAAAGTGCTATTAGCTTCTGCTTTAATTAATATATTATTAGTTACTTTTCTCCATACTGCTGAAACGTCTTTGCATATCTTCACAATACACTGTTTGCCGAAATCTTGAGTTGATCTACCTTCTATTTCTTATAAAATTCATCTCTAAGATAAAACGGTCAATACTGTGATTATTTTTGATTAAATTTAATATGATATAGGTTATTCGAAGAACTTACGGTTTTTTTCTTTCGTTGGCCAAATTTAATTAGTAATACTTGAAAAATTACGGAAATAAAAAGTACTTTAGGGCGTATAAAAAAGTAAAAAATTTTTTTATTAAATTGACTAAGCCACTGTCAATTATTACCAAATATAGATTTGTCCATCCTGCTATTATTTATATATTATTTACAAGTTATATAATTAAATTTGTTTTACTAAAATGAAAGTTAAAATATTTTAAAAATATACCATTTTAATTATAAAATTACTATGATAAATTCTTTTAATAAATTGATTGATAAAATTTTAAAAATCTTAAATAACTTTCATATATTTATACCTTTTACTATTATATAAATCTTTATAGTTACAAACAGAACTTGATATTATTTCTATACTTTGAAGTCTTGCTTTGATAGAATTTCATCAAGATTAGAGTAAATAGTAGTTTCAAGTACTTCAAGCTTGCCTAAGAAGTAATTTATATTGATTATATCAAATTTATAACCTACTCTATACTGGTTCTCTTTGTTTTTCTTTAAAATTTTGCAAAGTAGAGCAGAATGATCGATACTAAATCGATTAATTCTTGAAATACTTACTCTTACAAAGTTATCAACTTTAAAATTATTAAGCTTTTTTTTTTAATATCTGTCATATATTTTGTTTATATAATATACAAGGTTTTATCATGCAGTATCTCATAATTAGTGTTTCTCAAAATCAAATTAAATCAAATATTAGACTTATTTGAATTTGATTTGATTTAAAAATCTGAATTTGAATTTGATTTGATTTAAAAAATCTAGATTTGAATTTGATTTAATTATTTGATTTTAAATCTTCAAATCAAAT